CCATGCTGTATACAAACCCTAGTGACTAATTTAAACATTATATATGATATAGTTAGTCTAGAATAACGTCGGCGATGGCGACGATATGTATGCCAGCGAAGTCGGAGATTGGAAGTGCACCGTGTATTAGTATCAAAACAAACTTAATAAAGGAAAATAGAAACAATACAACGTACATCGAAAGTAACCAAAAATAGCAGCAACAGCGCAGCACATACAGCCAAAGTCCACGGCTTACCGGAAACATTAGGTAAGGGTTCAACAAGATAACAAAGCTTAGTACCTCAGCTTCTAGTGCTTCGTGCTTAGCTTTCACGTAATTGTTCGACAAGGGCCGCAACATGGTTTCGTGAAAAGTAGCGAAAGCTCGAACTGATGCTGACTACTTTAGTGCATTGACGTGGACCTGAACGAGCCCTGATAGTTTCTGTCTGCAAAATAAAGCTGAGGTTAGTAGTTGCCAATATGAAAAAGTAATAAGGAATACTTACAAACGGAACGATAATCTGCTGATATCAGCATCACCAAACTTGGTTAAAACTCTGCTGATTTCGGCTCAATATACTTCGGACATCTGATGTAAACCGTAATGCATCGAGGAATGGTAATAAATTCAATAAACACGTGTCCGACGGATCCGAAAACCATGAAGGAATCGGAATCGCGTTCTCTGCAATACATTATTAAACCCATAAAACCAACCGCAGATGTCCAAATTCACAGAAAATAGAGAATTGCGAGTTAAACTAAAATAACATCTCAAAAACATTGTAGAATGAAATGTATCCACTCACGAGGAAACTTCCTATAGGCTCCAGGGGAGTTGTCTAGAATGAAAATCGAAGAAAGATCTTGGTGGATAGCGCTAAGATCTTTCGTGTATCCCCCATAATCCATTGTGCAGTGTTGACGGAAGTACCTACAACCACAACTAAAAACTCTCATCTACACTTTGTTCCCCACACAATCACTGCATGACATTATAGCTTACTCTGCTAGGAACGTTATCACATCCGAATTGAACTCACCTCCACCATCAAACTGACTCGGACATCCACACAAATACACTTAATAATCCACGTGATCAAAAATTTACCTTCTATTCAAGATCCCTCGTCCGTTATCAAGCTTATCAGCGACATGCGTTCCATATACTTCCATACTAGCAGTAAACACTACCAAATCAAACCTTGAAAAAACAGCATCAGGGGATGCCAGTAGGCATAAACTGCATTTGTATTCTTAAAAGTTCAAATGGACGTCACAGCAGCGCAGGGCCCCATATATTATATAATATTGTTGAATTTCGCGTAAAAACAAAATGATGCCAATTTTTGACCGATGATTTTCAATTTAACAGCGTCTCATGCCTGTGCCTATTCCCTACTGACTGAAACTCTCCAAAGAAAATGTGTAGTGGCCAAGCTAACAAGGCACGCCATCAAATCTCGTTGATCATTCGAAGAAAACGGGATACGCTACACAACCTGGGATTCGAAAACCATCGCCTTTAAGCTAACAATTAGCTCATACTCTATAGCAGTATGAAGCGAAACAAATGGCGCCGCTTCACTAAGAACTATATTTAATTTCAGGACATTTCAGAAATGATTTGTTTAAATGAAGCTCATACACTCTAAATTATTGCACTGCTATCTTACAAAAACAAATCTTACAGCGAACAAAAAATAGCGACTACAGAAGTGACATACCACTGGCTAACAACAGAAAGGAAGTAGTCGACATGAGGGCGTGCATGCACGGAAAACCGTACAGGATGTCGATCGATAACTACCTTAAAAGATTGCAAAGCATTGCAGAGTTCATTTAATAATAAAGATTAATTAGAGCGCAAGTTCGCTACAATTGTTGGTCTAGAGGATACCAAGAAATATCAGAACGTCGTACAAATGAAAACAATTCCACGACGAACCTTTATAGTGAAGTCGGATGGCGTGCCCGGTTTTACCATTGGACGAATCACGCCGTCATGATGGGAATGAATGAGCGTTTCATCCAAATCGAGCACCAATATTTTTTTACGCATTATACCTGAGAGCATTCAATACTATTCCTTCAGATTTGCAGGAAAAAAAGCTACCGCAACTCACTCAATCGATGCGCTGTGAGTGGTGAGCATGGTACGTGATGATACTTCACAACTTGATATTTTGCGTACTGAAAAGAGAAGATTGTTAGGCAATTAGAAATTTCTTCCAATACCATCAAGAACGTCTGCCATCAGATAGCTTGAGATTTCTCAACCACCACAAGCATCTCACCAAAAATCAGAGAAAAAACGTATTCAGGCCCAGGTACATAAGCTGAGGAGAATGAACCGAGATTGATGATTATTGAAACTAGACCGAATGTTTAGAAAAAACAGCGATTTGACCCGAAAATATGTACTAGCAGAGAAAAACTGAATAGTTGGGCGTTTTCAGCTTTCCTCTATGGTTATTAACAAAACCACTCATTCTTGAGTGGCTTTGTACAATACAATACAACATAAATCATCGGTTTAAAGAGTTAAGCAGCAACAAAGATTTGTTGGCCTGAAAGAAAAAAGACTCACCACAGACTCCATGCTCTTCACATGCAAAAAAACTAGCAAAAAAACAAACTTTTGTAAATTTTTCTTAAGTATCTGTACCCTTAAGGCTACCACGATAGTGTGAGAAATCTATAGGTGAAAATTTTTTGACGTTATACCTGAACAAACCTTTGGAGATTCATTTAAAAATTCCATTCCGAACATATGTGAAATTTGAATAATGGCAAGCTCCGAATGGATAGAAAATAATACTTGAAAATGGTCTTGAAACAACGGTTTAGTTTTGAATCGTATGTAATGCTTATGTGGGACTTCAAAGATTTCCCTTCGGAACAACTTAGAACCAATCCGCAAACTTGGATTAAAATATAACTGCAGCAAACAAATATGTTGGATAGCATTAACGTGATCATAGACGTTATATATTATTTCTAATGAAAAAAGTCGAGACTTTGAAAAGTAAGAGCACTACTTAAACAATTATGAAAGCTTAACTACTCACTCCACGATGCATCCGCTTGAATCCCTGCACTATGAAGTTCAAAATCGTGCCAAAAGCAACAAGCACAGCCGTAATTATGGACATCATACTGCGAAAATGTGAATTTGGCTGATGAAAACGGCGTTCCGAAGACGAAGTGGACGTCTGGCGACGCATCACAGCATCACCTGCAATTTGATAACAATATTGGCAATATTTATAAAGGAGTTTCTTACGAGAGGATAGAGCTGAAAATTCTGAACCAACATAACGCACTATTCTCGGCAATGCAACAAAAAAGAGCGATAAATTGAACCAAAGACAAAGAAGGTTGAGAGAAAAGCCAATTAAAGCCACTGGGGAAGCTTAAACGTCCCTTGTCAACATTCTTCAGGTTATGTGAAGTTTCGGTTAATATCGAAGAACATAGTTCACAGACGAGAGCAGTCACATATCAGGATCTAGCTTTAGTAGTAACTCGACGATAAAACTCATTTCAATAGAAAAGAATCGCAATCTGCCGCTTTCAGTCGCATTCTTTGAAGCTGCAGTTCATGGCTACTGCTAGGTTTAGCCCCCGGAGTTTCTGTCAAATAAACATAAACATAATGTTCAACCTCAATCAACAATGAGGAGATATCCGTTTATAGTACGAAGGACACGGTAGACTGAAGTAAATTTAAGTTAGGAATGCGGGATGAGTTAGATCTCCGATAAAGTCTGAGAACCTAAACGACATTTTACATCCTTACTCTTATTTGAACGGGTAGGATAGTTTCTATTTCGCATTGCTCATGCAGGCTCAAATGAAGCCTAACAAATTTTCAGCGCTTCCCAATCATTCTCACTGAGTCATGATTTCGTAACTCATCCGTGAAATCGGGATATAGAATGCGTACGATGAATCGGAGGCTAGGCAGTATTGGTGGAAGAGAAGTCTATTGCTACGATCAATTATGTCCAACCACGGAAAACATCATCCTTTTTTGCAGCTACACCATCAGGCTTAGACACTGTACGTACGAAACAATATGCTTACCTTTTGCTGTCATTTCTCCACTCACGGCTCCGGATTTATGGTTGAATATTTTTGGCAAAGAGCGACGTGTTGTTGGCATGTTGGGTGAAATGACAGTTACAGTCGAGCGACCCTGTCTAGTGCCTACAGGCGATTCAGCGTCCCGTGACATCAGTTTGGTGCTAATTACTCTTCGTCAATCATATGCCATCATATATCAAGTCACACATCCCATACTCAGATATCAAAAAAGTCCCTGCACTGATTGCCCAATAAGGGAACGTACTATTTAAAAAGATTACATTACTCAACCCTCCGTTTTATACCATCTACCCATATTCCTAAATACTACAAAGCAAAGGCTGACCTTTAAGTGACTATCGTCTTGAATAGAAACGTAAAATCTCGAAAACCCATTACTCCATCTTGTCTTTTTCCTCTAAAACTTATGTTGGACGTGAGATCAGATCAAATCCAACGTGGAAGGAGCTTGGCGGATTTTCAAGAAAGGTAAAATCCTGCTAATGAGTCTACTAATCAGTTGGAAGTTGTACGTGAAATAATTGTATAAAGTAAAGGTAGTCAAACAAAACGAATCTCTGTAAACCTACCAACATCATATAACAGCGCCACTGGTAGCCGATCGTTTGACGCTCTAACCAAATCGTATTCAACGCTCATTGGTGTCGTATACCAGATAATAAGTCAGCCATGATATCCCCCACTAATCTGCTCCCATCAGAAACGTGTTTATCGATATCAAGAACCAACAAGTTAATTTGGAGTAAAACTGCCGATTTGTAGGAGGGAAACTACACAAACGTTCAAAAAGGGCAAAACGCGCCCGCATATATTAGAGTTCGATATAAACGAAAAGTCTAAATTTCTAAAAAAGGGCAGACCGAAAGAGAATTCAAATCGACGACCGATTTTCGGACACTGATTGGGTGTCAGCAGTGTGCTGTGTGGACGTCTGACCAGTGTGTTGGCGCAGGTTGCGGTTTCACAAGACCCCGTTCATCAGTAATTTGACGACAGATCTCATCTATTTAACTTCTTCAGAATGAGAAAGTCCGCAGATCTGCAAATCGATGAAGAAAGGTTCCGAATCATCTTTCTATCTAGGATCCATCCTTTATCATGTTGTCATTTGTCATCAAAGCGTCTCTTGTTTGTCAATATTTGCTCTGAGACCACCGCATTGATTTTTCGTTTTTGCTTGTCGCCATGTTCTACGTCCAAGTAGTATTTTTTTTCCTCTCTGCCACAGCTGTTCACTCGAAATCGTTTTTATTCAAGGTGGACGCAATGGTTACCACTATGATAAGCCGTTCAATAACACAGTACTGATAAGCGTCGGCTATTAAGTCCAGTTCCTTCCAAATGTATGACTTGTAGTAGATAGCTGAGTTTTGATGAAGTCAGCTTTGGTCATTCTAACATACTTCGGCGGGTATAAGTACAAGTAACCCCTCAAACAGCACCATGTTCCTCTGCAACATCAAGCTACAACCATTCCTTACATTAAAGCCGAAGCCTTATGGACAACTGCGCTCTCTCTGTGTTTTCCATTGCATTGAACTAATATTGCAAGAGTGAGCACGAGCATAGTTCCTGCCTTTTTACACAGGCTAGTGCGTTTTTACGCAGATATACGCATAAAAACGTACCTATCTGTAGGTACTATGAATGCTCCCACATGATGAAAGGATCGGCTTATACGTACTTCTTATACTTTCTGCTTGACTGGCAGCTCGATCTGCAAGAAGAAGTTTGACAGAAATGAAAGAATGAGTTATTTTCATGGTGATGTCTAGGCTATTGCGTCATGTCGGAAGGTGTTAGGTACTGAAATTCCTACGCGAAATGTGATAGCTCGTTGTATCTTTCATCGCACTGAAAATCAATTTCCAATGACAGTATCTTTTGTAATTTTTGTCGTGATTCTTTTTTTTACTATGTCACAATTAGCAAACCTTATGAATCGTGCTGCAAACGAAGCTGTAAAACGCGATTATCGTCTCTATTCGTTGCTCTATATAGTACTTCGTAATGCATGAAATTGCAAAATCTCCATCTTTCAGCGGCATGAGTGAGGATGGTGCTGCTGCGGCTGCAGCGCCTCCAGCTCAAACTCAGGTTTCCGGTTCAGGTAAGTGTTTGCATTTGCTTCCATTTAGACCTTTTATAATGATTTTCTCGGTTTGAACATCATAAATGCTACAGCATACCAGTAACCTTCAGCGGTAGTCCGGAATCGAAGAATACTAGAATACTATAGAGCACCTGTTGTAGCGAAGTATTTTGGTTGTAACTCAGTACCCTTCCGGTATAGATAGGCAAAGTATTGTGGTCAATACAATCCACAAGCAAACGGCCGAGCCGAGTGGTCCTACAGGCGCCTACGGCGTTCCTCGGTACCACTCGGCTCGGCCTGTCCAAGAGGATATCCTTTTTGGCTTTATCGTTTCCACTCGCTGATTGTGATACGTGACTCTTTCTCTCTTGATACCTCGATTTCCGTCGAATTGTCCCTGGTCATCCAAAGTTCCTACTGTCAACTGTATCACCTTGTTGTTAAGAACAGTGGATTCATTTTCTCCGATGCCTTTCAATTAGAGGACCATTACTGCCTCAGCACTTCTCCTTACACAGGTATTAATGTGATGGGTGCGCCAAAAAATAGTTAATTTTCTCAATTGGAGCAATGCTCAAAACTATTTTATGGGTGTTCTGTCTGCGTTTCCTTCATGTGGATTGCGATGTTCCAGATGAATTGCCGGTACGGGTCGTCGATCCAGTTGATCGCTATGCCGCTCTGATAGTCAGAGTAGGTTTTTGGACATTTCTCTATAGGTATAAAGTCTGAAAATAATTCTATTATCTATTACCTCTGCGAAAGACACATATGAGAAAACAGTACAGAAAATTCTGTCATTTTCCTTTAGAACTTCATTGTCCTGTATTTTCATCCATCATTTCCAGGGCACTATTGTATCCATCATTTCCAGGGCACTATTGTGGGCATGGGACTGGCTGGTGTGGCACTGTTTCTACGAAATTCTAGATTGGTAAGTCTTATATACAGTTGTTTTGAATGTAAAATTTTGTTTACCATTACAATTTACATATATTTGAAGTATCAATTTATATAAACAGTAGAATGTTGATTGCTGAGTCCATCGACTTCTCTTTCATCGCAAAGATGGTGTGGCTGACATGATCCTTACATTTTGTCTCTCAATTTACCTTGCCAGAAAACAGAAGAGTAGCTCTAAGCCTCTACTGCACCCGTCATTGCAATTCGTTGGAATGGAGATAATGAGTGGTGTTCGGGTTGTTAGCTTTCCAAGGCTGACTGACTTATTGACTGTTAGTTAAAGGTGTTCTTCTAGTACTGCAGTTGTCTCAAATTCAGTGTTCTAGTTTGCAAGATTCGAGCATGTGGCCCAAATTCCAAGAGATTTCATTCAAAAGGAGCTTCAACTGAAAGGGACCGTCCGCGAGGTGAGTTTCGCAGCGTGCTTCCCAACCTAGATTGGTTCATGTATATGGAATGAACTTTTGTAGGGCTTTTATCTAAAGTATAAAATTCCTGGCGGATTTTCTTCATCACTGCAGCTCTAAACTTTTATAAAATAATGTAATATCATATTTTTGGTCTTGACATTTCTATTATCCCTCTTCACACTGTTCCCCTGTTTAGTCTCGTTATAATAGCCTTTCTAGAGGCGTATTCTCGTCTGTATATCCATAAATCCTATGTAATATCCGTTATTTGTTTCGATGTCCGTTATATCGCATCGTCGTTCTATGGTGCTTTCTCGTGCCTTATTTTCCTGACAACACAACATCAATCAGACCTTCCCTATTCAACTCCTATAATTTTTCTCGTAACTCCGGTATCGCGACGTCGTTATCAGGGATATCTACCGATATATTGATGATCTCTCTTCTTGAAAGTCTGTTTCGGATCATCGGGGCGAGGCATTCCGTGACTCTTTGTTATTCTGAGTATATAGCTTCTAGTATATGGCTTCTTCTAAAATCCTCTTGGAGAATAGTACAAAGTTTTATTGCTCCTAAGATGGTCTTTAGTCACGAAAGAAAAGGATTTGCGGCTTCCATGTTTCTACTACAAAGGGTTTCCACAAATCCGCATGCTCTGCTTGTAGCAGTGATTCATTTCTTATTAAAGTTGGCATATTAAGGTTTCCATGCTTTCTTGGAACCTTTACCTTTCACTCCTTTTATTGCGAACTGATAAACACCATCGATATCATGAGACAGACCGTATTTTTGCTTCATTTGGTGATAGATTTAGTCTATTCACTACTGAAGTCTTTTGAAGATACTACCAACGGGTGAACTGCGAGTGGAGCATTCTCCTATTGTCCAATTACCACCTTTCCTCTTCAGGAAGAGACCGACAAAGGTAATTCTTCCCACTATATTTTTTTCATTGGATTAATTGTGCTGCCTACGTATGCTCAGAGGAACAGCACAGTTCAATAACTATTGTTTTTCCTTCGTGTTGGTAACTCTGTGCCTTCAAGGGTCTTCTGAATATCCGTCTTGCTGGTGTCGACATGTCTGAAGCCGGGCAGCAATTCATTTCGAAGGATCTACGCTTGAAAAACAAGCCGATTGTTTTTACTGTTATCAAGGTTGGGCACTTTGTTCAACACTTTACTACCCATAATGCTTCACTGCAGAGAACTTTCCTTTTTATTTTCTTTTGTCGCGGTTCTAATATGCATGTTTTAATTTTCCAGACAAGTGACAATTCCACTGACGCAGTTGATGCGGATGTCACTGTGAAAAAGGTCAAGGTTTAGCAAGTTCGAAACGAAATTACATTCATTCACTCAGCGTGGTGATTTTGCAGAACGCTTTCTCACGAACCAACCTGAACATTGAGGTGGTGCGACGCGGGTATGGTCGGGTTCCACCGCCCGAGTCTCCTCGTCATCTGAAAGCGTTGCAGTCGATTCCTGCATATTCAAGGCTGATTAACCGCCTATTGATGAGTGAGAAGGTATGTTCGTCCTTTTTGATTCGATTCTGCCGTCAGGTCGCATCTTTTGTTTTGACTAATTTTTGTCTGGTTTCCTCTGACGAATGATGAGGTTCTGAAATGTTTCCTTCACTTTCGAGTTGAGTTGGAAATGTGTAAATTTCCCTTGAGGCAGTTTTTTGATAGTTAGGTTTCATTTTTCGTTTCTATATAGCAGGATCTAAATGTTTATGGTACATTTCACTTCCGAGCTGAGTTTACAGTGCAGTTTCCGAAGCTGTTTAATTACACCCGCAGTCTTTCTTCTTCCCCTTGAGTAGAAAAGATGTTATTATTCATGAATGGTTAAATCGCTGTCACAGTAAATCGACAAGCTCTGAACAATCTGCTTGAAGTTTTTTTTTTGCTCACGATATTTATTCCTTTCATGGAAGGAAATGAGTCGTAATCCTACTCCGTTAATTCAAAATGATGTCACTTTGATGGCATTATTGGGATTAGTATCATATAAATCAGCAACGAAGCAAGGCATCAGTGTGGAGAACGCTACCCTGAGATGCTTGGTTTTAATCCCTGCTGCTATATGGTCTCGTGAAAATCTTGCGTGTAAATGTGCCATACCAGGCCATCTAATGGATTTTTGAAGAACAAATAACATTTTTCTCTGAAATAGATTTTCCTCCACTTTTTGGGTGTAGTTCTATTTATAAATTAGCACAGTTACGGCATATTTTTTGATACTACGCTGTAAGTGTTTCATGACAGAAGTTAGCGAGAGGAATTGCCTGTAAAGCGTAGTATCACTACCATCTCTTTCAACAAGTTTTTCTGTGCGTTACCGGCACTTCTTTTAAGTTCCAGCAATTTCTGTTTTCGCGTAACTTCGTAGTAGAATCGTGGTAGGGAATGGCTAATGTGCAAGGCTATCTCATCGATGGAGGCAGTAATAGCAAACATACAGTTTGTCTGGATATTTTGAAACCATGCGTAATTCCTTATTCTTATAAACCTTTGGAAAACGAAACACAACGGGATGGGGAGTCTTCAACTAAGTTTTTTTTTGCAGAAAATTTATTATTTTTTTTTGAGCCTTTGAGCCTTCTTCTTGAATTGTTTTTTTTTTTCGTTACAAAGTGGAAGCAGCTCCGTGAAATGAACTTGAGGACAAATTTTGTCGGCATTAGAGAAGGTTCGGAACATACAAATCTTCTATGAATCGCACATCTTTTCATTCTTAGAAGAGATATCAGTATGTTTCGTGCTACGCTGTTTTTGACGGCTATGAAGCTCTACGTATACACTTTCGTGCTCTACCTGCTGCAGGCTTGAGGTCTATAAAATGTACGCAGGTTTCACTCTTGATGTGGTACTTTGTGCTGAGGTCTATAAGATGTACGCAGACTTCATTCCCGATATGGTACTTTTGGGCTGAGGTCTACAGTGTATAATGATGCTCGACAGAGAATGATTTGTCTCTGGTTGATGAAAAGACTTTTAAGACGTGATAGCGAATCATGAATTGGACCATCTGATTTACTAATCGAAGCAGTTAATCTCGTAGAATTCGTTCCCTTTTCTTTTCGTCCTCGAGAGTCCTTTTAGAGAAATGTTCTTCTCTCTGAAGAATGCTATGAATAATTATATCCTGATGTTTACCGTAAGCATTGTTGTATGAGGAAAGTTCTTTTCGGTTTCTGTTTGCCTTGAAATCATCGCAAAGTTCTTCTCATAGCTATCGATTCAGCGAAACCGGCCAAGATCGCTGGTTATGCTCTCTTCACCATGTGTTGGGTATGGTGGATAACCGTTGCTTTCATTCACCATCAAGTGCAAGATTATGCATCTTCTCAGTTGATAGCATACAGCGTATTTTTATTGTTCGTGGCTCTGATTTGATTTTGCATCGCCATCTTGAATCTCTAATTTTCCTGTTTTTCCCTCATTTGTTGCTGGGAGTCGGAATGCAGTAGAAAATCCTGTTATCCAGCGAAGGCAGTTTTCAGAAGAAGCAAGCATTTCTCAATAGGAGCACTTTTCCTGAGTGAAAAGGATTTATCTGCCTCTCAATCTGATCTATTTTATAAGAATTTTCATTAGATTGTTTACTCTCGATTATCAACATGCAAGATAGACGGAGTGGGTCAGGGGTCAAAAAGGAGCTAGCTTTGATTTAATATAAGAGTTCAAGTAGGAATTAAGATAGTGGCTCACGCTCTGAGCTGCTCGTGAATCGGAGCTCCAACCGTAAGCTCAGAAACTGTGTCCTGCCGTAAAAGTGCAATCAATTTTATTGTGTCAGAATGGACTTTATGGAGGGATGTTTTTTTTTGGAACTAGGCGTTCATACACAAAGTAATGATGAAAGCTTTGTTCGGCCCTTTTTCTTTTCCTTCACTATGTCTTCACATGGCCAATGTTCATACTATCAATCGGTCAACTCAGTTATTGTCCAATCCTCCACCTCCTATCCTCCAATCTTGTCTTGCGGATTTCATCGAATATTCACGGATTTCTTCGAATTTGCTGATTTGCTATAATTTCGCTTCTTTAGTTCGTCTTAGAAGCTTCCATTGTGGTCGCTACAGATTTTTTTGTTTTCACAGGAGGGTAAACTCTCGGTGGTACGGGGCGTCTATTCTCCCGCAGCCTTGGTAACTTACTCTCCCGTGAAAGGGAGAATCAGAACCGAAAAACCCGGAACCAAAAGCTTTTACTAGAATTGAAAAGTTTCTCTGATGGTGGATTAAGCAGATTTCTACTTTGGAGGGAGAATCGTGAAGGATCCATGTGGTGCAGAGCGTACGATCATAAAATTGGGAAATAAATGTAAAAGCTGTGGCAAGAAAAGTTCAATGGAGAGAAGAGAAGAGCAAAGCAAATGGATTAGAAGGACGAAATTGCACTTAGCGAATTGTTAGAAGTCGAAGTGTAATGTTTTGTGGCGCAGCCCAGTCACAGGATCCCATTCCAACACATGGACTTACCTCTTTCACTAGATTCATTCAACAATTCTTCTTGAACAATCCTACGCACAGTGCTCCATTTCCTTGCATGCCAAATTTTGCTGAAAAACTGCCAAAATCTGGAGATTGCCATGGGTAAATATTTTACAGGGGTGAATGAGTTGGTGGGGAGTTTTCGGTTGAGAAGAACGCCGAAAACTTGCCCTGATTGCTTGAGATATCCGATTAGATTTCTTTAGTTGTCTTCCCATAATCTATCTGACATTGAAACCTAGTGTTGAGATATGTTTCAGTGAGCTTTCATGGAAAGCAGGGTTTCTGGCATTCTTGCCTGGTACATGTCTCTTCCTAGTCACAAGTTATCAATTTAAAAAACGATTTTCTTTTGTGTTCAGAAAAGACTCGTAGGTTAGAGCCGAATTCTGGGATATATAGAGATACTCAGTTTTTATTAGACCTAAGGATTCAAGAAAGTCCTAATTACTACGGATTTTAGAAAGCCTTGATTTAGAGCAATTCCATCAATCGTTGCTGTAGGTAAAAACGCTTTTGATTGATATCTGCAGTGAAATCTCTCGACTTTCGCCAGGGAGTGATTCATAACAGTCATGTTTTTTTATGCTATTTGTTTTAACGGGAGGATCGTCATTCTCTGGAATTGTTGCGAAGCCGTCTCCTGACTTTCCTTATTTCTATTCATTCTCATATTGTTGTTTTTGAGGCTGCACATATAGTTAGCCCCTGTAAGTTTCGCTCATTGATAAGACTACAAAAGATCACTTTTTTTGGAAGCTTTCAGACCACTGTTGAATTTTGTTTGTAAGAAGTTCAGAGCATGCACGTTCTGAACATCCTTTCCTTACATTCGTCGAAATTTTTTGAGAATGCCGCTTTCACGTATTCATTGGAATTTGGTCTAAAGGTGGTCGCGAGCTCGATGTTGTCGGCACCTCATGGAGGCGCAGTTAACACCACCAACTTCCCATTCCAATATTGAACTTCTTCGCAGGCCTCTCGCTCTTAGAGCTTGCTCTCATTTTTCAAGCACTCGCATTTCCTCTTTTATTTCACAAAATTCTTGAGGCAGCGAAAGAAATGCAGTTTCGAATTCTCAAAAGTTCATTCTTCTGAGAATCGTTTTCATTCATTCAGAAAGTTTATGATCGCTTTGTTTTTTATGTAGTTCTTCGCCAATGTTTGGATGACTTCGCTAGCNTTTCATTCATTCAGAAAGTTTATGATCGCTTTGTTTTTTATGTAGTTCTTCGCCAATGTTTGGATGACTTCGCTAGCAGAGGTAAACTCCTATTTTCGGGTTTTCCCTCACCTTCGTTAAAGGTTGTTTTTACTATTTTTTCGAAGAATGGTTTCTCTTCGATGATATACGGGCAGTAGCGTTTTTATGCGGTGAGGGTAATTGTACAGGCGGCTGTTGGTGGGTGCAACCACTGTTTTTTACCTGTGTCAATTTACTGACGATTGGTGGTAGTTCGTGCTGGACTAGAGTTCGGCTTAGCGTTTTTTTGAGGCACGACGATTGGACAGCTGTTTGGTACTCTGAAAGTGCGTCATATCCTGTACTTTAGCCTTCTGATTTCACGTCATCGATGTCGTGCCGTACATTCATCTTTACCATCATCATCTATCTTCCCAGAGCCAGGGTTTTTATTTTGTTCCCATCCTGACGCCCAGAACTAATTATATGAAAAGTGAACTGACGAACGTGGGATTTTCTCTGGTTCGTTCTACTAAAAAGTGTAACAAGTGCTCGATAAGAACTATGTGGTGCATGAGAGTTTTCACGGAATCTCGAGAACAGGCTTATTGTCTTCCGGTTAGTAGCACTTATTGGAGTGACGCTGTGAGGTTCAATTTTTTTCTGCAAGATACTCGTGCGTCAGGATAACAATTGCGAGGTACGCCCTGGTAGTTAATTTTTAGGTCCATTGTGCTACTGGGTGAGCGTCTTTTCATGTACCCAAGTCACTCCGTGGCGCCCAGACTTTCTCCGATGTCGGTAGCCAATTGACTCTCTCGTCAATTCACCATGTAGTCAATTTAGAGGTTGTTGCTGGATAAGAGATGTTGAGCGAGTATTCGAGACTCTCAGATTTCCCCATGATCCTGCAATCTTGAAGTAACAAGTTGATCTTCAACTGCGGCGAAAACTAGTAGCACAAAGAGCAAGTACAAAGATTCGATTTTTCCTATATGCGACAAAATCGAAAGTACCATTATGTTGGGTTATTTTCCGATGGAAAAAGCAAAAGAGTTAGGGAGCTTTGAAGTTACAATTTCTTGTCCTTTCAGTTGAGTTTCGCTCTCAAACATAGGCAGCGTTATTTTGCTTAACGTTTTTGCTCATGAAAGGGTTAGGTTTGTTAAATAGTAAATTTTATAATTCGAAGTTAGCTACGGATTTCTTTTAAG